GCTGCCTTGTACCAGAAAGGCTGGGATGCATGGTCTGACCCCAGAGTGGGCCCTGGGCTCCTTGGGAACCTCCAGCCTATCACAGTGCCTGCACTCAGGAATGTAGAATAAAGACCATCTTGCAGAGGGGACCTGTGGGTGGGCTCATGCCTGTGCTCCGAGGAAGAGAGGATTAGTGAGCCCAAATGGTCAGCTAGGGTAGAATTAAAAAGGCAGAAACCTCTCTGTAACCACAGCTCTGGGGAGCTCTGAAGCCCACAGGGCCCAGAGACAAGTGGCAGATAAGATCAGCAGCAGCTTGTAGCCACTTTCCGTAGAAGGCTTGGAGCTACCAAGGGCAGAAACTCCACAGGTCATTCTGGGATGAAACCATCGGGGACAACATGAAGGGTCAGACCAGGGACGAGGAATGTTTTCAATTATGATTCATGCACTCATTAAAACAGTTCATACAAAGGGGGTGTTTAAACACAGCAACCTAATTTTAAGTTTGATAGGTGAATGGAATGTGGAGAGGGAGACAGGGAGTTTGGAAAAGCAAAAAAAAAAAAATAATAATAATATATAAACTCTTTTCATTAAGAAAATGGATTGTTAAACTAATTAATTTTTTTTAAAAGAATAGTATTTTGAACACAGAGATCATAACACAGAGACACGGATATGTGTAGATGGGAGGGTGAGGGGCACCTGTCAGCTGGCCCTCACCCTCCCATCTTAATCAGCAAAGTTCTGATTAAGCCACACTTCTGTCTGTACCTGCCCAGGGTCCCATTTAGACAATGGGTTTGTCCCCTTCTGGGGCTCTGCTTGGTTTCTGCTCTATAAGAACTGAAGTGCTCTCTAGCCTGCCGAAACTGCTAGAATACTAAAATTTTCTTTCACAAGCTAAATGGCATTTAAAATAAACACTGTGAATTGATGGAATGACCAGTTATGTTAAGTACCCCTGCCTGGTGTAATCCAAACCACACCTTACCCCATTATCCTCAACACTGAGAGGTGATTCAGCAGCCCCTCTTGCCAGGGATCCTGAACCAAAACACAAGACACGGCACCCAAGGAGGACCTGGAGTACTTCCAGTTAATTCTTGCAATTGGTTTTGTGCTGGAAAATATAAATGTACTAGGCTTCCACTCGACAGCTCATAAACCAAACAACCACTAGACCACACGAGCTGGTTCCCCATTGCAACTATGATGTCAGTCTGGTTTCAACGTCATTTTAGGTTTTCACTTCCATTTCTTCCCCTTAGGGCACCACATCACAGACGGTCCCCAACCGATGGTCTTTCAACCATATGGTGTGCAAAAGCCAGATGCATTCAGTAGAACCGTCCTCTGAATTTTGATCTTGTCCTGAACTAGCAATACCAGGTCCGGTTCTCTCCTCTGATGCTGGATGGTGACAATGAACTGCAGTTCCCAGTCATCCCCAGGATCATGAGGGGCACCACCAACTCTCTACAGTATGCGTGTTAGATCCATTCTCGACCTATGACATCTTTGGCTCACCAAGAACTCATCTGGCTGGGCCCCATCGTAAGTCAAGGAGCCCATGACAATATCAGCCGAGGTGTCTATGGAGCACTCAAGTTCTGCACCTCCTCCAAGTCCCCACCACGGTGATGCCACGTGCCCTATGATTTTTCCCTCCCTGGCAATGCTATTTCTGCTACTTCTACACAAGCACATCTCTGATTTTCAAGGTCTTGCTCAAGTGTCAATTCTCCCCAAGAAGTGGCAGTCCCTCTGATCCCTCCTCCTGGCAAAAACCAGGCTCCCTCTCCTACACAACGTGGCACATCTGCTTGTGTTCATAGCCTGCATCTGTACCCTCTCAACCTCTGGGATGACTGCACAGAGGAGATTCATTCCCACCGTTCTTTGGGGAATGGATGTTCTGGTCTTGTTGGGCCTCAATGCTAATCTCTGTGCCTGGACCCTACTAACGAAGTTCTTTCCTAGTCTAATATCTTAACAAAACAACCCCCCCCAAAAAAAAATAAAACTCACCCCACTACTTCTTTGTGGGTAAAGGGAGATTTGTGAGCATGACAATAAGAAAGTGGGCATAGACAGCCAGGTATGGGGGCACAGGTCTATAATCCCTGAGGCTCAGGAGGCTTGCAGACAGAAGGATTGCAAATTTGAGACCAGTCGCAGCAAACTTAGTGAGACTCTGTTTCAAAATAAAAAAAATTTTTAATAAGGACTGGAGATGTGGCTCAGAGGTTAAGTGCTCCTGAGCTCAAGCCCTAGGACCAATAAATAAATAAACATAAATAAGAAAAATTAAAGTGGGCATAAATCAGATATCCTTTCTTCTACATGATTCTAATCTAAACCTTCCATTGTTGTTTCTGGGCCTCTTCTTTATACACCCATACATTTATTTGTAAAAGTTCTGCTGCTGGGCATTACTTCTGGCTGCCCTGCACCACTCACGAAAGGCACACGAAAATATTAATTAGGATGAGAAACATTCAAAATAAAACATACAATAAAACTATCTCAAGAATGTGAGACAGAGCCAGGAACAGAGGCCCACATCTGTAATCCCAGCTACTCAGGAGGCTGGGGTAGGAGGATTGTAAATTTGAGGCCAGCCTGGGCAACTCAGCAAGACTCTGCCTGAAAATAAAATTTAAAAAGGATCAGAGGTATACCTCAGTGGTGGAGCTCCAGGGTCCAACCCCAGTAGCACCCCCCCTACCGGCCCCACTCTAAAAAAAAAAAAAAAAAAAAAAAAAAAAAACACTTTAAACAGAATGAAATAAACAGAAAAAACTCATGTTAACAAGTCTCTACCTACATGACCAAACTCTCACCAAGATTCTCTTGGTTTTCAAATGTACAAAAAGCCATATAAAGGTTGTACCTGATTGGATGTAGATCCAACAAGCATTTGCCATATGTACTAGCTTAATTCCCAGCATATAGAACAATCAAGGAATTTTTTAAATCATGACGTCTACATCCACAAGACAGAAACTCCCACAGCAATCACTCAGCATCAGAGACTTTATTGGTGCTTCTCTCGTGTTTTTGCCCACAGAAACAAAGAACAATTGACATGAACACAGCAAATCTTAACTATGTGGATTTGAAATCCTATAAGAAAAGGCTCTAAGAAAATAAAAGCACTTAAAAAAAAAATCCAACCATTAATGATATTCATATATTACCCATGGTTCTAGAGGAAACTTTGAAATCCACTTGAGAAAAACCCAAAGAACGTCTATCATCAGGGGCTGGGGATATGGCTCAGTTGGTAGAGTGCTTGCCTAGCAGCAAGTCCCTGGGTTCAATCCCCAGCATTAAAAAAGAAAATCAGCTTCTAATGATACAATCTGAAAGAAGAACAGAATAGTTTTTTAAAAAAACTACTCATTTTTGAGAGTGGAGGCAATTCCTTTTATTTTCTTAGATATGTAGGATATCTATGACAACTACTAAAATTAGAGTTAACCAAACATACCTGCCTAAATTGCACCTGAACGAAGCCAAGTGCAAAGAAATCCTTTAAGTTCTTGATTTTACAGACCTTGAGAAACACAGAATTCGATGGCACAGTCCACGAACAACCAAATGTGATGCTATCTCTCACAATGGTTTGAGCTACTCCAGAAATCTGAAGATAAATGCCTCTCCTCTTAACCACATGGATATCCTACCCCTTCACACATGTGGTTAGCCTCTGCGTGTACTTCTAAAAGACGGAGACTAACCAGCTCTAGACCAATCAAAAGGCAGTAACACCCTCCCGGTGAGCCAGCATGGTTCTGAAGTGCTTGGTACAATCCAGTGCATCTGCCTTGGGCAGCTGTGCTCCCATGACTTCTGCCAGTCAGCAGAGGCTCAGGGGGACAGAAAACTAGAAGATGCTTGGAGGCCGGTTCTTCTACAGAGCAGATATCCAAAACAAAGTAATATCTCAGAGTATTTGTAATCCATCTTTTTTTGCTATTTTTAACCATTTATTCATCTTTAATCTTACCCATTTCAAAAGTAAATGTTGTGGCTCAGTGATAGAGAGCTCGCCTGGCACGTCTGAGGCACTGGATTCGAGCCTCAGCACCATATATAAATACATCATTAAAATAAAGATACTGGGGCTGGGGATGTGGCTCAAGCGGTAGCGCGCTCGCCTGGCATGCGTGCGGCCCGGGTTCGATCCTCAGCACCACATACCAACAAAGATGTTGTGTTCGCCGATAACTAAAAAATAAATATTAAAAAAATTAAAAAATAAAATAAAAAGAAAGAAAAAAAATAAAATAAAGGTACTGTGTTCATCTACAACTAAAAAAAAATTTTTTTTAAAAAAAAGTGAATATAGTCGGACACCATGGCACATGTATGTACTACCAACTACTTAGGAGGCTGAGGCAGGAAGATCACTTAAGGTCAGGAATTGGAGGCCAGCCTAGGCAGCACAGAGATGAAAGGCACTTTGAAATCCTAAAGAACACTGGGCAAGAGCTAGTCCAGGGCAGCAGAGAATGGGCAAATATCAGCAAGTGTGTCCCTAGCAAATGACGCTGTGGGGACAGGTTTGGGCGGGGCTCTACTCTGAGCCTCAGTACAAACAACAGCCTTCCAGGCCCACATGGACATCAGGGGACAGCAAGGAATGAGTGCACCTCCACGAGGCCAAGGGTCAGAACACCGGAACCATTCCTTGTCAGCCCAGGGGCTCGCTCTCCTCAGCCCCGTGTGCATACCATTTTTCACATCCCAATTGTCACGTCATCCTCATTCCACCAAAGCAACCCAGACGCTCTGGAACATGAGCAATGACAACGGGCCAGAGCAGAAGTCCCGAAGCCTGGTTTTGACTCATGACTCCTACTTGAGTAGGAAGAAATAAAGAGAAGTGGGCACAAGACCCAACCACTCAGTCACGCTTCTCCAGAGGGCAGCCCCTCTCTGGTTGGCACTGAGCACAAAGGGGTCAGGAGGGGATTGAGGGGCAGCGAGGTCTCCTAGACACCTACCTTGCAGAAGGGCTCCGTTTCTCTTGAAGAAGGTACTGCCCGGCCAGATGGGTGGACCTGATGGGCTGCAAGAGAAGACAAACACAGGTAAGACCCCTGCACGCCCGCCTAGGCACCCTCACGGGGCCTCGGACCATGGCCCCAGGGATGCTGTATTGACATCCTCTGAAAATGTACCTTTAAAAATCATTAGGTGTGTTTAATTGTCGTGTGAGTATTCTGCTTACCATCTTGGCCCCGTCACACCTGGGCACTGAAATCGCCTGCAGGTGAACAAACAGCACACACACAGCGCTAGGCAGCCCAGCTCAGAACTTGAAAATGTTTGCTAACTTGTTCCGAATGTCATGAATTTATGTGGCAAAGAACACCTGCCCATGTGTTCTGAAACCAAGTGGGTTTTCTTCTGGCACTTCCTGGTACCACCTGCCTATAGTAAATGCAAAGTTGCCCTTCTTGGCATTTCTACCACCAAATCCTCTCTGTGCAGATGCAACCTTGATCAACACCCTCCTTCCTCTAAGGCTCTTGTTTGCCTCCTGTTTTCCATTTCTTGGCTTAAAAGGTGGCACTCCATCCCCTATAAAACACTTTGCAGACATGTTACCACCCACAGTCTGGTCACCAGAGAGGCAAGAAAATAAGAAAGATCAATATTTCACAAAGACACTTACTGCATTTATAGACGAACATTTTCACTGTTTTAGAGCATCCAGTGGAAAACTTTACAACCAAGCCAGTCTTAGCAAAATATCCTTAGAGTGGAAAGTAGGTTATTCTAAAAAGGATTGGTTTAGATTAATGTTAGAAAGCACTTAGTTCAAAATGTTACTGCATCTGAGAGGCGATATAAATTACTTTCACTGAAATAGTACATGGCAAATGATATTGGTTAATGTATTATCAATCACATTCAGCGTTTAAAAAAACTAAAAAACTGGCCTGAGGAATACATTTGTAAGTCTGGCAGACACACGGACACCCACACACACACCCACACCCACCCACCCACCCACACCCACACACACACACACACACACACACACATCTGAAGGGCTATACAATGAATGCTTCGCTAGTCAACTGGGGTCTCTGGCTATACAGGATGGCCGCGCCCTTAACAAGGAAGAGAAATACAATGATATTCTGCCTATCAGAATTTCATTACATGAGATACAGAGAGTCTGGTCATATAGGAACACAATAGATAATTGCAGAAAAGTAGGAAGTTACAGACTAAAAATATTATTAAACATCAAGACTGCGGTAAATGTGCTAGAAAGCACAAACAGGAATATCTTGTTTATTGTGCTTTAAAGATATTGCAGGGATTTGTGTTTTTGTTGTTGTTGTTGTTTTACAATTAAAGATTTCTAGCAAACCTGGGTCAAGCCAGTGTATCAGAACCATTTTTCCAAAAGCTCAGATGATCATTTGCATTTCTTAGTGATAAGGTATTTTTAAAATTAAAGTATTTACATTGTTTTCTTAGATATAATGCTATTGCACACTTAATATACTGCAGCATGGTGTAAATATAACTTTTATACGTACCAGGAAACCAAAAAATTCATGGGACTTACTTCAGTGCCACATTTGCTTGATTGCAGTGGTCTAGCATTGAACCTGCAATCTTTTCGGAGTACCTGGACTGTGAACCTTAGTGCTAATGAATCTTTTTGTTTAATTTTCCTTCATTTCTACTGTACTCAAAGTAAATGAGAACAATGCATCTTGGCCATGGTTTTTCCTACACACCCAATTCTCAGCCTGGCAGGTGTAGCCTCCAAGTGACCAGGAAACCTGCAGCCCTGGTTGGGGGTTCCAGGGTTCAGAATGATGGCAGCAAGCTAAATTCTCTTCTGTCTCATTCCTGTCTTATTCCATTTGGGAGCCTTTAAGGCTCAAAGTCACATGAAGAATAACGTGCGTCAAAATGCTTAAGATGATCTTTTAACAACCCTAGCAAGCTCCCGGGGCTTTACCATCTTATTTTTACAACAAAGCAGAAAACAGCAAGCTGGCTGTGGCCAATACTGAACTGCCTGATTTATAAAGATATTTAAAAACGGAGGACTTCATTATAGAAGAGTTGGTGTTTCTAGAGAATTCAATAATTGAGTATTACTGCAGGAGCCTGGATATCCAGCTTACCGCCATCCAAATCTCCTCTTTATCCTGACCTTGATTTGGCTGAAAACCCGAGCAGACACCAGGGATGGAGCAAGTGTGGGGAACTGAGGTTGGATAAATCCAGTGGTTTAGATAAGGAAAATACTCTGTGTGATAGAAATCTACCTACAGATTTTCTACAACGGCCTTTTAACATACTTAAGTCACTGATCACAATTCTATAGCCATCCTGCTCTGTTGTCCCTCTAATTTGTACTCCAGGAGTGGAAAGATGTGGAGTCTTTGGCCCAAGCCCCCTGGTAAACGGTGAATTCCTGAGGGGCCTCCTTCCAGCCCAGGGTTAGCCAGTTCCTGCCGTACTGACTGCAAAGCTTTTGAGCTCTTCATATTCCGTATTCTTCTTTTGTATGGTCCCTCAAAATGATATCTTCTAACTGTTAGAAGATTTGAGGATTTATGAAGTCCCTATTGAGAACTGTGCTCTGTGTTACAAAAGACACTAGGAAGAAAAAATTAAAAATCCTATTTGATGATCCCTAGGAACTTACTATCATAGTCATCTACCTCCAACCTCCTCTGGTTCCATTTAAAGAGACAAGAAATGTCCCTGGAAAGGCTGATGGCTCTGGTTGCCCAGCGGCAGGCAGGCACAGCAACAAACTTAAGATAGATATATTTTTTTTTCCTTCTCTTTCTTGGCGTATTACCTTCTGAGCTCAGAGTTCATTAAAAATACATATGATTGGGCACAGAGGTGCACACCAGTAATTCCACACAGTGGGGAGGCTGAGGCAGGAGAATTACAAGTTCAAGGCCAGCCTTGGTACCTCTGCAAGGCCCTCAACAACTCAGCAAGACCCAGTTAGTCTCAGAATGAAATATAAAAAGGGGACTGGGGATGTGGCTCAGTGGCTGGGTGACTCTGGGTTCAATCCCTGGTGTGGAAAAACAGAAAGGACACACACACACACACAAAATCACTTTAAAATGTATATTAACACAGATCTTCTAGGGAAGAAACTAGTGGTCAAAAGTGTTTGGGGAGGGTCTATACCGCCCTTTCCAGTGGCAAGCCAAGAGGAGGGGAGGTTAGCGCGCACTGAGAAGATGGGGAGCTCCTCGCCCCATGGTGTGCGAGCACGTGACACTTGTGAATGGTCACTGCCATGTGAAATAGCCACTAAGGTCCCCTCTAACCTGGGTGTGTCTTAGTCACCTTGCAAAGTCCTCACATTGCCTAACACTGAGATAAAAAAAAAAAATCATCATTTACTGAGCACAATGAGCAACACTTCTCCACAAGCCCCTCTCCTTCTGTGAGGTGGCAGGGCAGAATCACCTTCCCCTTCTACAGATGAGCAGAAGTCCTGAGAGGTAAAGGGACTTAGGGCAACAGGGGACTGGTCAGTGACCAGCCCATGACCAGACCAGGGCTCCTGGAGCTGGCCCAAGGGACTGCAGAGACACTTGTCAATGCCCCAATTTCATTTCTCATCTTTCTGCTTTTCTCTTCCAGCACCAAGCTCTCAGGCATGCCTCCCCATGGAAGAAGGCTGTGGATGGCATTTTGTGAGCAATCTCTCCAAGGCAAAGTCCCAGGCTAGAGAAAGCAATCGGAGGAACCACACGTGAAAGACTCATGGGCTCCTATTAGCAGGAACAATGGAAGGTGGCCCCACAAATGTCTCCTTTAAATAATGTGCCCACAGAATCCCACGACCTTCAACGGCACACGCCAAACCAACCCTGGGACAAGGAAGCAGAGCAACAGGTTAGGAGGGCCCTGCCTGCCAGAAAGCCGGTCTGTGAACTGGCATTTGAGAACACTGATCCAGCTGATCACGGAGACTAGCGGCGGGCCAGCAAATCCCAAGAGAGGAGCGATACCGTCCTGAACAGCGCCGGCATCTGCCAGAGACCCACATACCTAAGTCATCCCCAGGCCTCGCACTCTCAGCTGCACAAGGAGCTCCCAAGGGGACACTGTGAGGCCACAGGCTGTGGGGCTGCCTGATCCGTCAGGTGTCTGTCCTACACTCGTGGGCTTCAACACTGGGAACGCAGCCCCCTGGCAGTTCTGGAAGACCCTACCTCTATCTGCCAGCCTGGACTGTCTGGGGGCCTAATGAGAAGCTAACTGAGAAAAGTCCTTTTTCCTAACAACACAGTTGCCAAACATAAACCGCTACACCTAAAGGACAGGAGGCTAGAACCAGGATGGAGTGGGGGGAGTTGGGCGGGGGGTGGGGGGCTACCTGAAAGAAGGCAGAACAAAGGACACAAGCTGACGGACTTCCCGTGGATGAGAAGTCGGATTCACAGAGTAGAAAGGTGGCTGCCAGGGCTGGCCCCAGGGGAAGAAGGATAGGTGCAGAGTTGCAGATGAAACGAGTTCTGGAGATCAGGGGGCCCAGCAAAGCAAGTGCCCCTGGTGCCACTGAACAGCACGCTTAAAAATGGTTAAGATGGTAAATTTTATGTCACGTGTGTTTTATATAAATAAAAATGTAAGAAAGAGAGGGAAGGAGGGAAGAAGGAGAAGGACGAAAGAGAGGACGGACACAGGAACTATGGAAAACAGTGAACAGAGGCCTGAAGATACGGGGCAGGAAGGATGATCCAATCCATGCATTTCCCATCTGAACCTCCCCTGGACGCCCCCAGAACAGTCCCCATACTTAAAAGTGGATACCCCAAACCAACTGGGGGAGAGGAAGAGGATGCCATAAAGACTAGCTCTTCCCAATTTAGTCCTCGTGGAAGCTCTCGCTTTCCCACTGTCCTTCATGCCACGGAACACTGATTTCTACCACATCCCTAGCCCTGGAAACTGAGAGTGGAGGCCACCCCCTGAGAAGCACGACACCCACCAGCACTCTGCTTACCCAGGAGTAAACGGTCCAGGCAGTCCTAAGACGGGGGCAGACTGAAG